TCACAAGAGCTAGGGTGGAATTATTATCAAATAATTGGAAGTCTCAATCAAATTTAATAACAATGCCAAATGATACTAAAATTATAACAGAATCTGAATTTCCTCAAGTATTTGGAAGCTTTATAAGACAACCTGCAAGTTTCCTAGTTGCATTCTACGCATGTGTTAGACAGTTAGGTATAACTACACTGAGAAATCAACAAGTATTTGTGGCTAGAATAACTCAAGTTGCAGGTATGGGTGTTATTATTGCACTTTTCTTTGCACCATTAAAGAATAATTATATTGGTGTTTCAAATAGATTAGGTCTTGTACAAGAAGTTACAAGCCTTTATTTTTGTGGTATGCTAAATAATTTAAGTTCATATCCTGATCAAAGAAATTATTTTTACCATGAATATGATGATCGAGTTTATGGAATCTTACCCTTTTTTTTAAGTTACATGATTGTGGAAATTCCATTTGAAATAATTTCAAGCCTCATATTTGCAGCTTTCTTAGGACCAATTGTTGGATTACCAAGAACCGCGGAAATGTTTTTCTCTATAGCTTATGTTTCATTTCTCATTACATTTTGTGGTGAAAGTTTAGGTATTATTACAAATACACTATTCCATCATGCGGGTTTTGCTGTTAATATTGTTTCAATTATCCTATCAATTGGTACATTTATGGCTGGTATTATGTCATTGCAAATGGATGGAGTATTAAAAGGTATAAATTGGATAAGTCCTTTAAAATATGGTATGGGTATCTTGTTAAATATGGCATTATCTGATGATGTGAAATTTACTTGTGACGATTCTTCAAGAGATAATCAAGGTAATTGTATTTTCAGTGATGGTGGAGATGTCTTAAGACAATATAATTTAAAAGCACCATATAAAAAATTCTTAGGTGTTTTACTTGCAGTTGCAATTATTTATCGTGTCATTGCTTATGGTATTTTAAGATTAAAATTGGTTAAAATTAATCTTGGATCTAGAAAACAATGATTGTTTAGTATTAAAGCCATTCTTCATATTGATGTTATTAATTTTATGCTTATTTATTTATTCTACTAAAAATATCACGCTCATTACGATTGAAGTTGAAAATTCGTATAGCAAATATAATTAGTGTATATTGAAATCCGGTGCTTAATCCATAGCAACAATTTAAAAACGGTATAATCAAAAAGTAAAAGGGTATACATATAAAATGAATTTTATAATTAAAATAGTGTCCAATGAGTTGCTTAACAAAGCAAAAAAGAAAAAGGATGATAAAGAAATAAAAGTAAAAAATCATAAACGTCAACATCAGAGTGAGAAAGGATAAACATAAAAAGACAAACATTCAATCATAACAATAGAGAAACACACACACATACTACCATTGGACAATGATATAAACCCCTCCAAAAAAGGACAAAAAGGACAATTGATTAAACATCAATTTCAATATCTTTAATTTCTTCATTTTCATTATTATGAGTTTTAATATGTTGAGCTAAATTATCACTTCTTGAAAATTTTTTACCACATAAATCACAATTAAATGGTTTTTCATTTGTATGTAAAGATCTAAAATGTCTTTTTAAATGTTCTTGTCTTCTAAATCTTCTTTGACAATACGTACAAACAAATTGTTTTGTTGCATCATAAGCTAATGAAGGTTTACGACCTCTTCTTGCTGGTTCATTTACTGGTGGTTGATAATCTGCTGGTGGTTGAGGAATTATGTCACCTTCTGGTAATGTTGGTAATGGAGGTGTGTTATTATTATTAGTATTATTGTTATTATTATTTGAACTTGAATTCATTGAAGTTAAAGAAGTCATTCTTTTGAAAGATATTGATTTTGAACGTTTTTTATTATTTGTATTAACATCAGAAAATAAAGCAGCATAATCTGGTGAATTATTTTCCTTTTTAATTTCAGTTTCTTCATCATCATTTTCAAATTTTAAGTGTGATGATGAAGAATCATTATCAAAATTTGAATTATTTGTTGATAATGAAACTGTACTTGTTACATCATGATTAAATTTTAAATCCATAGGAATTTGAACATTTTCTTGTTGTTCAATATCAATTTCTGGAATAATATCTAAATTTAATTCAGGAATTTGTGCAATGAGTTCATCATCATTTTCTTGTTTGATTTCAGGCTCTGATTTATCACCACCAATACGGCCATTTGTTAAAGTACTAACTAAACTTGATTTGGTTTTTTTTGGTTTAGTAGTACAATTACAATTCTTTATATGAGAATTTTTAACACATTTTTTCTTTTTTGGTTCAATAGTTTCAATATTTGAATCTTCATCATTTAAAGAATCTTCAATTGGGATATTTTCAACATCTTCAACTAAATTTGGTAAAGTTTTAACTAAAACTTTTGGATCTCTATGAGTTGAAAGTGGGTTTATAACTCTTAAATTAAAACGATTATTTGAAGAATTTCTAAAAATTGAACTAATTGAATTTGATATTGATGATGTAAATCTTGATTTTTTAGTTTGATCAGAATCTTCAATATCATTTATACCCATATTTTGTAAATTTTCAAAAAATTCATGAGATTCTCTTGATGATGAACCTAAAGTTGTACTATCATTATGGAAATTACCTAAACTTGATGAATCAAAATTAAAATCCCAAGCAAAATCATTTAATTCTTTATTATTATTATAATAATCAGATAAATTTGGATGATTATTTGAAAAAGAAGTTGAATTCCATTGATTAAAATCATTAGTATTATTGATATTATGAGTATTACTAACCAAAGTATTATTTGTATTGATTAAACTTAAGTCATTATCAAATTCAGTATTCATATTCATATCTTCATTATCTTGATAACTTTGTAATCTTGATAAACTATCATCCATATTATTATTGTTATTATTATTATTATTTAAATTAAATTCAAATAATTTATCAAAATTCAATTCATTATTATTACCATGATTCTGATTTTGATTATTAACTTCATTTAAAGAAGACATTAGAGATGCATTATCATTCTTGTAATCTTCATCAACTCTAGAAATGATTAAGTCACTATTGAAATTGAATTGATTTTGGGTTTGTTGATGTTCGGTATAATTGGGAATACCATTGAAAGAATTCCCGTTCACTGGGTCTTGAAAAACACTCTCCATGATGTTTTGTATATGATGAATCTATTCACAATATTCTCTGAATCACAGTATATTCTCTTATTATTTTTATTTCTTTATTGTTTGTTTATGTAGTTTATTGTTTTGTTTCAAATTAAAAATTCATATTTTTATTGTAATTCTCAAATGGTTTCATTTTCTATTCAAAGCCATTTTTAGTTTTTTAAAGTTGTTATGCACTGCCAGAAAGATTGCGCACTGAGAATAATTATACACAGTTGGAAAGCAGTTTGATTACCGGATTAGGAAGTCTACAATGATGATTTTAAGGAAATATAGGCAAAATTACTTGAACAAAATGGTAATTATAGCCCAAGAATCGTTATTAAATACATTTCAAATATTGTAATACGTGTACTATTATATAGACGTTGTATTTGTTATCTCGTTGTTTTTTTCAATTGTTTTAATGAATCCGATTTTTCCATTTTCAATTTTTCATCCTCGGAA